CTCCAGTTAACATCCAATCAATTACTTAATTATTACAATAATCGATTAATCATGATTAATTGTTTCGGGCCGACTGTTAACTACTTAGGTTAACGCCACAGAGGAAGGATGTATAAAGAAAACTAAATTAACCATCTAATGAAGCCTATATATCCTGCAAAGTATTTATTTTGTCCTTTGGGCAGACTTAAGCCATATGGTTTTAAAATTATATAAAAATCCACATCTAGGTCATTTTTCTCTTAAAAAATGTAATCAAATAAACCAATACAGCCTTAAATTTGTTATGCCGTTCATTGCACGCGGGAATAAATATGAAAATACTGTAATAGAAGGTGAATCGGTGTTTATAAGAATGTGAGAAATTAATCTATAACTTCTTTACTTGCTGCACACTTTAAACTACGGTGGTTTGAGCGGAAATTAGGGACTGTATCACTTATAAAAAGGAGAAAACAATCCAAAGAACCCCTGAAGCTTAGGATTCAACTTGGCCCGCACAAAGGGAATAATGGAGATTATTAGAGTGTAGGTCCGACTCAGTTACAGTAAACAATATTAGGTTCAGATTGAAAAGTTTTCATGCAGCTGTTCAGATTAACCGCGAACAGATGGAGCAACTGAACCAACGGTTGGAGATAGAGTCGCTCACTTCGCTTCTTTCTGCGGTGATAAGACTGATGGGGTTTGACTGTTTGCCAATCACCATCAGTCGTTCAACCAACCATATATGTATTGATATTAAAGCATAAATGCCTCGTGTGTTTATAAACGACGAGATAACGCGTTGTTTTCAAGTCGACAACTTGTCCAAGCTGAGCTGTGTTTAAGTGGGGAAGCGCGACAACGTCTGAAAACAGGAAACAAAGGGCACGATAAGATGGACGTCAGGCCTGAAAATACTTAAATCAGAAATAGCGATAAATACAGCCATCCCTGTGAAAATATGCAATTATATCGTCCGGAAGGCTGCAAAAATACTCGACTGATGCGCCTAGTGGAGGTTTATAGAGAATTTAATGTATTTTGGATAACGATAGAGGGAGACAAACACCCCCCGCCAGTCGCCTGAACGGTAAGCCCTACCGTGACACCTAGAGGCCGTCGACGGCTCCTACAAAAACCTCTGCTGTTTGGAGACAAAATGATACTTTCACTCACTCCTGGTTGGTTCTTTTCCGCGTAGTATTCACGTCGAAGCTCAGCGCCGACGGTTGCTCCTCTCAAACTTGCAGCAGACGGTGGTGTGGGCTCTGTGCCGAGCTCTTAATTTTCTCCCGCTTTGGAGGAGTAGGCCTTACACAAAATGGCGGCTCATTAGCAGCAGCGCGCATGCGCGATGGCAGTGACCGGAGGGAAAAGAGGGGCGTTCCCTAGCGGCAGCTTGAGGCGATGGGCGCCAGATTTGAAATGAGGCGTGGGTGTGGCGATTTAAGATACGCCTTTTATTAAAGGAGAATTGGATGGAAAGATAATTTACAGACTTCTCACCAGAAATGTTGATCAATTTTGGTGTCAATATACACAGTGGTTGTCTAGGTGTAGTCTAAACTCTCTCAAAAAGATGCCTCTAATTGAAGCAGAACATAACATTGGCCACAAGAGGGCAGTGTGAGGCCTGTGACAGGATGTTTACATATTGAGATCTATGGATGTAGAATTGGCAAGAGGGGAAATAATACGTTTAACGGAAATTTGCGTTTCTCTCAGGGTTTGCAGAGTTGCTTTGGGATTTTATATTTTATTTCAAGTGCAGAAAGAGTTTTGCTGAACTTAAATTTAGTGCATATGGGGTGCAGATGAATATGGGGTGGCATATAGGACGTAAATCAAGACTGTATGAGCTTCTTCTGAGGAGAGAGACCAAAATTCCTTTACTTAATTTTCAAACAGATCTCTGTGAATTTGAAATATTTTTAATTAATTGTGACTTGCCCAAAATGTATGTTTCTGCTGTAAAATTGAATGTCCTGGCATAAATACTCCCCCTCTCCTGTTTGCGTTCTTCTCATTACTCTCAAAGATCTTCTTAAACACACTGCCAGTGTGTTGCCTAAAGCTGAAATCCTGTTTGCAAAAGGATCTACAGCATCCACCTCTTATGTCTCTGCTTTCTTGACGATATGCTTTTTTAGGACAAAGTTCACCCCAGATGATGGTGACCTTAGGTTGAGGGCGTTGCCTGAAGGTGTAGCTGTGCAGCGTTTTGGGCCGCTGCCTGTAGTGGCATTGCTGGGATGCAGCAGAGTACATCCTCTGGTGTATTCTGCTTCACTCTATGCAGTTGCTTTGCTCTTTAGCAAACTCACAGTGTTCTTTGGTTGGGTTTAGAGTCTGTGCGTTGTGTGGCTGGCAGTCATTGCTGAACCATAGTAGAAGCGTCCAGTAGGCCACCATCTTGTTTTCATGAATAATGGATTGACATCATTGTTGTGCTGGACAGGTTTTTTGGGTGGATTTTTGAGTTAAACAGTTTTTAATAGTTGTTAATTTAGGAAAGGAGGAGGAGACCTGTTCCAGAGCCTTAGCGATAGGGTGAGGGCCTCGTGATCAACCTGGGAGGACTCAGAGTAGAGCCGCTGCTCCTCCACATCGAGAGGAGCCAGTTGAGGTGGCTTGGGCAACTGGTTAGGATGCCTCCTGGACATCTCCCTGGTGAGGTGTTCCAGGCACGTTCTACCGGGAGGAGGCCCAGGGGGAGACCCAGGACACGCCTGGAAGCGCCTTGGGATTCCCCCGGAGGAACTGGTCCAAGTGGCTGGGGATAGGGACGTCTGGGCCTCCCCACTGAAGCTGCTACCCCTGCGACCTGGATGGATGGATAATATAGGATGTCACATGATATAATGTCCTTTGAAAAACCTATTAGTGAAAATACGTTACATTTTTGGTTGTAAAGGACAAAAAGGCTGCTATCATCGATTCTTATCGCTCTCTCAACTGGCTATTTGTTCCTTCTGTTGTTGAAGGGGTCTAAAGCAGGGTCACTAACCATTGTAAGGCTTAAAGCCAATTCATGGGTACCAAGTCATAGGGAGGGCTACTGACCTTTGAACTGGACGGTTCAGCATTCATTCGAACTTCATACATACAGTTATAAATGTATTGTTGTTAATTGTTATAATTTATGGTTTTCTTTTAGATATTTTTATTGTGAAATCTCTATAAATGCTGTGCTAAAGTTTTTGCACAGTAATGGGTTGTATAGAAGACTTCGACTCAAATTTACTCAAATTCCCAACTTCACTACACTCAAACAATGGCATATCAGTATTTCTTTTACAGCATTAAGGCCATTAGCAATTTCAGGAGTTTTATTGACTAAATAAATGTTTATATGTCTATTACCACCTGTGGCATCTCCAAAAATGCACACATTTAGTTATTTATCAGCTGATAAAAAAAATCCATTGTTCGTTGGTTTGACGTTATTTAACTATTTTGAAGGAGAAGAGAAGCTTCTGAACTCTGTCACAGTAGTAACAGTCAGAACAGGAAGAGAAACCATGATTCTTTGCAGAGTGACCGAATCCACCTGGTGGATTTAGTCGATATTCACAAAGCATCCTTTGTTCAAGTACTCTGAGTTGTTCCATGCACTTTTTATGAGCTCTCATTGATATCAGGATGCAAACAAGCAATTCTAGTAGTGTAAAGGGAAAATAATTTATGCAGAGGACTTTGAATGTGCAATTCTTAAAAACGTTGCTAAGGGCTTAGTCATGTAAACTTAATAAAAAAAAATCCATCCATGTATTATAGAATTAGTGGCTGCATCAAACTTGAAGGCGATCACTAAAACAAGTCAGTCCTACAAAAATACAAAAAAGAGAAATAGTTATTGTTCTTGCTCATAGCTGTGTTCAACAACACTGATTAGTTTGTATAAATAGTTATTTCATTCTTATTTTCATTGTCTAAAGGATTTGAAGGCTGTGCTGTTTTTCCTTGAAAATAAGTATTGCCCTGAGACACATTTTGGAGTAAATGTGCCAGGTTACATTTCAAGTTTATAATTCCACTGTTTCCCCCTGAGAAAATTCTAACTGCTCATTAGCTAAAACTACGGTCTCATCTGGTCTTAATATTATATTCACTCTTTAGGGATTACAAGTACAGACAGGTAGTAATTAAGATTAAACACATATAAGCCTCAGAAAACAGTGTGACAAGTGGTCCAAATGTTCCTCTAGGTAAAATAACCAGCAGTATTGGTTTGTTATACCTGCAGCCTAGCATTGGAACAGGCGAAGGCATATTACTGCATGTGGGAAATTATCCAGGTGAGACTCCAAAGAGGAAAGCAAATTATTTCTGGGCCAAAATGGGAGTTTAAGTTTCCCTCATTTGTGTAAACAACTGCAAAAGCAAATAGCAAAGAAATGTGATCCACATATAGACATGATGCAGATGAGCATCCCGAATGTCTAAATAACTCTCGCAGTTTGAATATCAAATGTACAGCAGCCACACAGGCAACAACATTCCCATTAAATACTGGACACAAATCTACAGAGAAATAAGCCATGTGATTAAAAAATGTAGAAACTGGTGCTTGGGGGCATATTTTACATTGTTGTTGTTTTTTTTTTTTTATAAGTTGTGCAACTCTCTGTGTTGCAACTGACTATCCTCTCAAAAGCTTTTGGAACAGGATCTCCAATCAGTTGCAGGGGACCAAAAGAAAAAAAATAATGCCTGGTCAATCTGTGAATTACTGGTTCCAGGATTCTTTTCCGCATATAAAATAAATTATTAATTTGTTACATAAGCAACAACAGAACATTTTGTCTATTCAGGGGTTTCCTGTTTAAAGTAATGGGTGATATACAGATTCACAATGTTTGGTTGTGTTGTTGAAGCAGGTGTCTGAGTGATGACTTTCATCCCTGTGTTAGAACCTCTCCTTGCTTTATCTCCATCTTTTCCTCCTGGTTTTTCCTCTCACAGAGGGGAGGGGGGGGCAGTGGCAGAGAAAGGCGAGGTTCTGTTGTCAGATCTGTCAGTCGAGCCAGCCAGGTCCCTCCCACCACTGTGGAGGCATTACATACTGCTGGTGCTCTTAGCAACCGTGCCTCAGCAACAGAGCCACGGCAGCAGCGTGCCGTGTCTCCCCAATGGAGCTGCCATTGGGTGGACCAGCTCTCAGGCACTACACCCAGAGCAGACCGAGACCTCACCGGCAAAAACTGAACTACCGTCCTAGCAGACCGCAGGTACTGTGTGTGGGCATCAGATGGGCTTGGTATAAAATGGAGTGAGGAGTGTTTGGTGTTTGAGAGAGAGAGGGGAGTGAAATGGAAAGGAGGGAGAGGATGTAAGAGGGTATAGAGGAGAGAGGCAGGGGGAAGGGAAGGGTGGAGGAGATGCCTGGTCCCTGCTTGAATTAGGCAGTCCCTTTGTACCGGTCACTGGCTCTTTGAAAAACCCTCTCTCTTGTCTCTACGTTTGAATATGAGAGGGCGGTGAGGCCAGTGGGAATTTAGACTCTATGTCTTCCCTGGCTCTTCTTGCCAAAAAAATTAAAACAATAAAAAGGAAAAGATTGAGGCTTTTTTAAACTGTCAGTGTTTTAAAATGCAGAGGGAGTGCATGTATTCCCCACTAAGCTGGTCATGTTGTCACCGAGCTCCAGCAGCTTGTAGACATTCAGCCACACTCCCTAGGAGACAAAATTCACCCAAATCCCTCCCTGGCAGAAGATCGTGTAACGGTGACTTCTGCTTAATCTGTGTTCTGCAGCCAACCTCTTGACTTTCATCTTCACTTGTGGGCACAGATGCTGATACCATCAGCGTAATTCAACACTGCATAGCTGAGATTTTGATATCGCGTTACCTTTATTGGTGAAATGAATTATGCTGTCTAAATTCTGCATGTAAAACCCAGCGACGCTCGATCACTTCACGTTACTGAGCAACTGGGTCCCAGGAGGCCTCGTTCCAAGCTGAAATAGATGAAAAAATCCAACCAAAGATATGTGCATTGTTTCATGAGGGAAAGTGCTGCCAGAGTGTGTGGGTTTTTAGAGGGGATTGTTATGTAATGTAAAGTTACATGTAATTTAATCTGTTTATGTTTGATTGCTGGGATCTGTTGAAATCAGGAGACGATAATTGAGAGTGAAAATGAAGTTCTTGAGCACATGGGGCGTGTTGATGAAGGAGTGGAGGAGTTCTTTACAAAGAAAGTACTTCCCACAGATACACTGTGAGTATCACTCAGTAGTTAAATGATTAAGTATTCATAGAAGCTGGATTGAAATGTGAGGGTTCTTTCTCTAGGATCAAGCAGGATGAGGAAGTCATCACACAGCAAGAAGTGGCTCCTGCCAGCTCTGTCCCTGCTTGTCCTCCACCATCCAAAACTCTCAGGAGGAAGCTGGGTGACTTCTTCACCCTTAAGAGGAAGCGAGGTCTGAAGTCTGAGCCCAGCCAGGAGGGTCGCCCCAAAAAAGCCTCCATCGCCGATTTCATCCGACCTCTTAGGGAGGTCGCCAGGTCAGAGAAAGACAAGGAGAAAGAGCGGGTAAAGGAGCATGACAAGGAGAATGAAAAGGAGAAAGTAAAAGCAAATCCCAGTGCTGTTACTGGAGAGGAGGCTGTTCAGGAGACGCCGGTTACCGGTGATGCGCCAATGAGGGGCGAGGCAGCGCCTCCCCGACGAGCTCTCAGAGAGGGGAAATCCCAGTCTCTCATTCTGCTGTCTGGATCAGCAGCAGCAGGAGCTACCAATGCTAGAAACACTGCAAAGGTGAGCGTCACTGCAGCTTGATTCCTTTATTTTTTTCGCCGTAAAACATCTGACAATCACTTACCTTCTGATTATTTCAGAAACAATTTGAAGGTCAGCACAGCTTTGAGCAGAAACTCCATCTGATGCTTCAGCGTATTGGAGTTTCCAAACCTCCACCAGGTGAAACACAGGTGTGTAAGTGTGCAGGCCTCAATTTACATATGGGAAATATGAATGCCTGAGTTCTTTTTTTCTCTTATTTTAGACTCAAGAAGGAGAGATGAAAAAGGCAGAATCTGAAGGTATGTGTTTTCATCCATGCCATTTTTAACATCCTATCCTCTGGGTTATTGTCAATAAAACTAATGTGAACTTTATGTCAATAATACCAAATATAATTTCTGAACTGTGTTAAATAGTTATATCCCCCAAATACAGTTTTTCTCAGTTTTTCCTTTTTAAAGCTTTATGTTGAATTAAATATTTAGGAATAAGAGACCTACAGAGTCAAGAAATGGCTTCTGTATTAACCCCCCTTACTTCCTTTAGGATATAAATTGCAACACATTATCCCCAATCTGAAGAAATTCCTGAATAGAGGAAAATAAAATCCCTGACATCTGGTAGACTTGGAACAATAATTTCTTCAATTTGGTTGTAAAAGATTTGTTAACAGTTCTCCAACTTGTTGCTGCCAAGGATGGCAAAGGTAGCTATTTATCTTTAGGGCATTTCTTTTTTCCTTTAAAATTGTTATCATCTTGTTTTTATTTTAGTATTTACTCAGTTGATTTTTACATTCAACTTTTTTGAGATAATCTGAAGCTTTCAGTGGGACAAAAAAAAATTTCTGAGACATCTTCAGTGAAGTTGGCACTTTCCTCAAAAGCCTGCTGTTGAATTTCATCCCTTTCATGGATGGTCTGAGTCAAAGATGACTACACACACTTCAGAGGAAGACATTTTCTTTTCTACCAAAACGTTTTCAGGATCAGAACCAGAAAATGCCTTTTGCCAATTAGTGTTTTACAAGTAGTATGAGTAAATTGTTTTAATGAGGTGCTAGACAGACAAGGTGCCTGTCTCCATCAGACTATTGGCTAAAAGCAGGCTCCATCCTGGACAGGTTGGCAGTCTGCCACAGGCCATAAACAAATTCAGGAATATGTAATTTAGCATAAGCAAATGCAAGTTGTATAGGAGGAGCACTCTTACATACTTTAAAATAAATAATAACAACAGTATAAAATTATATTATATACAGTTACTGAGATGTTTTGGATGTTCCCCCCCTTTTTTCTCCAATGTGTAAACGTGGGACCCTGGGCCTTGTATTTGAGGCCATTAGCAGATGGAAAGAAGCTGTTTTTGTGGCAGGAGGTTATGGTCCTGATTGACCACAGCCTCCTGCCACTGAAGAGACTCGGAAACATTTTGGGGTGGGAAGGGACAGCTGCAGTCTTACCTGCTTGCCTCTAGGATCTAGATCAGGGGTCACCAACCTTTTTAAGGCTGAAGGCTACTTCATGGATACTGAGTCATAGGAAGGGCTACCAGTACTCTCCTATGAACTGGAGGGATCAGCATTCACCTAGACTTTATGCATAATAATCATATTTTTATTGTTTCTTTTAACTCCTAATTTTCTTTATGATTTATCATTCTGAAATCTCTATAAATGCTCAGATGCTCTGCATAATTAAAATGCTGAAATGCTCTATAAATTCTAAGAAAAATAAGAGCACCAGAATAAAATAAAATTTCAGTTGTAGCACACTGGTGAGTTGCGCCGTTTTCAGGGGACGCTGTGCTGTGTGTCTGCCCCTTGGTGCCTTCAGGGACCACCTTGGTGAACCCTGATCCAATTCCTTAGTAGAAAGAAAATTGCTGTCAATCTACAATGCAAACGATTTGCTGCAGCCTTTCCTTGTCCCTAGTGGTGGTAGCAGCCTACCAAATGGTGATAGAGGAGGAGAGGATTGACTCCGTGATCGCAGAGTAAAAGCGAGCAATGATGGTGCCCATAGTGTGAAATGAGTCTTTAACAAAACCATACAGATTTAACAAAGCCATGACATAACTAAATGCTTTATAGAAAGACTGTAGTCGCGCGATGATGGTATGCTAACTGGTGGTAAGGTGCTAGGGCCACTGGGGAACTGAGTTGAAGTCTTTGTGCCCATTGATCCCCACCTAAAACATGCAACACCACACAGCACCTGGGTCTTGGGGTGTGGGATGATTAGCCTTGAGGATCCAACCAGCATCTCCAACACCCAAACCAGAGTCCCAGTAATAATGCACTGGAGGCTTACACACCTGCATTTGTAGCAAGGTTTTACAGTATCCGTAACCTCCATGCAAACAACAGGGGGACAATATTGGGCAGCTATATTCTGGGGGGTTGTGGCTTGACTCTGTTTTTCCTGTCACTGCGTCCGCATTGGTTTAGTAGCAGTTAGTGGAGCTGGGATGGAGTGAGTGTATGATTTCTTTAGGCTTTGGGCTTCTTTGGCACAAGACTTCTGGTTTTGTAGAACGCTGCAAGAGCACCTTCAATATAGGGAGTTTTTAACATTTCTACATAGTTTACCATTCAAGGGGTTGACAATTTATTTGCACCTCAGTGTCACAAATTAACAAATGTACACACCCACTCTACGTATAGACAAGAAGAAAAGCTTCCTTTTCCACTGGTCTGGCTTGTCCACTTTGATGTATCCCAATTCCATTATTGATTTTATCAAATCAATGATGGAACTAGGTTACCATCCTCACATATCTTTTTCATTGAGCAAAACTGCCCTGTCACATGTAAGAAATGGCAAGACAGAATGGGATGAAAAGTGCAACTTGTGTATTCTATGGGTAAATGACTCGGTTGTTTTTCTCAATTGATTTCTGCCTTATGAATGTCAATGCACAGAGCAAATGTCCTTTTAATTGGGGAAAAGGTGTCAAATACATAACCATTAAATAGTTAATTGATAAATGATACAAAAGCCAAAACATAAATCATAAAAATAAGATTTTTTTTATTATTATTTCTTGTTTAAAGCTTTAGAAAAATAAGAATATACGGTAAGGTGTGAAAAAAAGATGGGTGGAAAATAAACCTGCTTTAATCTAAATTGTCATGCTCTTCTATCCTTTACAATAACACATTAATATTTGCATTCAGGTACCATCATTGATAATAAGCCTGAACCACCTTCTACTTTCTCAAAACCTCGGACAATGTCTGCATCTTCAGGTAAACTATAAATAGTCCATTTATGCCTTATCCCTAACATTCTATGATCAGCTAGATAATTTTTCTCCTTAAATTCTCCCTCCAGACACACGGCATCAAATCCGGGTAAGTGTGTCGGCCCACGAAGCAGCTGGGAAACCTGCTTTGCTTCCAAAACCAGCTGTCAAACCAGCTCTGCCCCTCGCAACGTCTGGTCGCAATACGCCCGAGAACGAGCTTGCACAGATTCAAGAAGCAGAGATGAACACGCCTACTAAGCCCAGTATGACCGCAGCTCCTTCTACTCCTGCTACTCCTGACCTGTCTGCTACCACCTCCCCCTCCTCCGTACCGACAATCTCTGATCCAGCCCCTGACGCAGCCAGTGTCGCAGTTTCCTCCTCAACTACTGACACAGAAATATGCACTGACTCAGTGAAACCCGCTGCAGCAACAACCACATCATCCACCAGCAGTACAGTCAGTGACGGAGTAACCTCCGTCCCCAAATCTAGTGCTCCTGACCCTGAGACACCTATCCCCACAAATACTAGCATCTTCACACCAACAGAGCTCCCAGGCACCGTCTCAGTTATACCTAACTCCTCAGAGTCTGTTACCCCAACTCTTTTCATCCCTTCCACATCAGAAACAGTAACTACTTCCTCCATTCCCACCCTGGAAACTGGCCCAGCTGCCTTACAGCAGAGCTCAGTTACCAAAACATCCACAGATGTGCCAACTGAGGCAGCTTCCCTCGAGCCAAATGTTGCTCTCTCAGCTGCTGGAGGTGACATTTCTGTAACCACCGCAACTCCTCCTTCCCACACCACCACCTCAAATTCAGGCCTACATACTCCTTCTAGTACCTCAGCAACTGCATGTCATTCTCCTAATCTCGGTACAGTTACTGCTGCCCCTATTACCACGACATCCCCTGTCACCTCTGTTTCTCTCCCTCCCACTGCTGATGATACCCTCAGTCCAACATCCAGCGACCACATGGATTCTGCCTCTTCTCCTGCTAAAGTTCAGTCAGCAGCTCACGTCTGTGCTCCCTCCACTTCTTCCAGCGACACAAACCCTACAGACACCGCCTCCACTGCTACCAGCTCAACACGCGCAGACACCACTTCCACCAGCAGCTCGGCAGGCACTGCAGCAATTAGCTCCCCTCACATAACTGGGTCAGATCCTGTCTCCATGATTCCCACTGATGAAGAGACTGATGCCCCTCCGCACCGCTTGAGCAGTCCAGCACCCCCCGATGGTATTCCACAGCAGGACAAAGATTTAAAGACGCCGCTTGAAGAAGGGAAGGAAAGAGAAAAACCAGGAAAATCCACAAAAACAGACACTGGTAAGATTTGATCTCAATAAATGTGTAATATAGACCTTGTAAAATTCTTCTTACACATTGGGACACCCAAACATGCCATGCTTTTGATATGTTGCTCAAGAAAGAAATTGAATATGTATTATGTTCATTTGTTTTAGGCACCCTTTACGCTGAATCCATTAAATGAAATCCAGTTCCCCAATTAACCTTTGGGAATCATTTAAATTGATTTCGATTCAGCCCATTTGTTCTGTGGAAACTTGAAACAAATTTAATCTAAAGGGTCTTTATCAAATAAGAACAAATATCTTCCAGCCATACATCCTAGTTATCCATGAAGACTTGTTGATTTTAATGAAATCTAAAATATAGGTGCTCTTGAAGACCTTAGTGGTTTACCAGAGTTCATTAGTTAATAAACAGGAAAGTCTTGAATTTATTTGTATTCAGCCTCACAGATTCAATATTCTTGTCTCTCTAGGTGGTCATTTCCCAGTAATTTATAATTCTGCACCAAGACTCACTTAATTTATTTAGATTCCAACTTCAAGAGACATATACTTTTTTTCTGATTCTGCATAGGGTTCCACATATTGCATTTTATGTAGTTGTATATGTTTGATTGCATTTTTTTTTTCTTTTAGCAGTAGATGAGCCTTCTGAGACGGTCAAACAGACCAAATCACCTGAGCTGAATGTGAAGAAAGAAGTTGTTCAGAGTGAGAAGAAGAGTGAAAGTGACAGTGACAAACCAGTGGTTGACAACGGTGATGTAACAAGAAAAGAAGTGCAGAAAGAAAGTGTGAAAGCTGAAGAGGATGCTCTGCCTGAGCTGGTTACAGAGGCTGAGAAGAGCAGAGACAACGCTGTCAGTGAGGCTCAAGAGGAAACTACGTCAGCAGATGATAAGTGAAAAATGGTAGATTTGGTGAAAACGGGACCGACAACTGTGACGAACAGGAGAGTCCACAGTAAAGGGTATGAGGGATAAAGGAGGATTGGGGAGAGTGAGGATCAATGGCACTTCCAACAGGGACCACCACATTACTGCAGCACACCACTAAGTGGGCCACTGGACCAAAGAACTAAGATCCTCTTGGTGTGATGTTATCAACAAATCCAGCAGTGTCTTTGTCCTTTTTTTAACTTATGTTGAAATTTTGCATCGCACGTATGATTATGTACTATAAGAAAACTATTGTGGTAAAATACATGATGTTTACAAAAGATGGAAAAGAGACATAGCTATGATTATTAAATGGATTATTCAGTTCACTGAGTCCTTCCTTTGGCTTTTTAAGAATCAATATACTTGGTCATATTTTGTTTAAACCTCATATCCAAATCCTTTCATACCTTTCTGCATTCAATTTCCCTGATCAAACAGAACAAAAGAGCTGGAAAAGCCGTTTATCAAATACCGTTGCTACACCTAATAACGTGGTATTAAACCTATAGTAATTTTTGACCCAAAGAGACAATTAGAAATTAGTTGGTGTTTTTTAGGGTTAATAATGACAGCTTTAAGGTCCTAGATGTTGTGGCAAATAAGTAACTTACAAAGAAAAAACACATTCACTTTTATTTTGTCTCAAGGGTCTACAGCAGGGGTGTCAAAGTCATTCCAGAAAGGGCCGTGTGGCTGCTGGTTTTCTTTCCACCCAAGCAGTAGCACACCAGACTCCATTCATCCCATCAAGTCATCAGGTTAAGACTAGACTCACCTTGATGAGATGAATGGAGTCTGGTGTGCTATTGCTTGGGTGGAAAGAAAACCAGCAGCCACACGGCCCTTTCTGGAACGACTTTGACGCCTGTGGTCTACAGATTATCCGCATGACTTCAAACAATTCAATGATGTTACATTTAACATTCTTTATTCACAATCGACTACGCTGTTCTAGATAAAGCTTTGTAGAGGAAAATTAAATATACAGAGAGCTGTATTGAAGATGCTTTCTCCTATACATTTGACCAGATGTTTGTAAAGAAGAAAAATATTCTAAAGAGCCAGTGCTTCAGGTGTGTTGACTGTTGATGTATTTTCTGAATACTATTGTTCCTGGCACCTGTTTATAAAAAAAAAAAAAAAAATGTGGGGTTTACATTTATCATACATTTGGGGCATGGAATAGGAGACATACGCCATGAATCCAACAAAACTGTCTTGGCGCTCCATATTGTCATGTGTATCTGACATCATGGTATCTGACTTTGGTTTTCCCTGCTAACCAAAGGTAGAGTGACAAAAAAATATTTTTCAAGTAATAAAATCAGTATTAAAAAAACTTTTAATCAGGTAAAAAAAAAGAAGAAGCAGAAATATAAGAAATTAGTTAATTAGGGGTAAAAATGTATTTGGTAAAAAGACTACTTAAATATAATTGCTGGATCATAATATCTGATTACACTCTAGGAATGATCCAATCAGACAGACCTTATGGGCCAGTTCTACTATTTTATAGACTAAATTGCATAAAAAATAAAATGATTGTGTGACAACAAATTAATACAGAATAATCACTGTCCCATAAATTGTTTTTAAGCTTTAAACCATTAAACAAATCCTGACAGTGAGACTTTTTATATTTTCGGACAGGATAAAGAACCTCCGCTGTTGATATTTAATATTTACTGTATAGTCACCTGATCGTTAATCACATCAAATTACTCACAGTGAGCAGAGTAGCCAGAATTTTCTCTGAAATAGAAATAGCAAGGATATTATTTCTAAATGTTTTTTTTTTTTTCCCCAAAAAAATGTTACTCAACTAAATGTACTGGGTTACCCACCTCTGCCACTAACCTAAAACATTTCATACATGGGGCCCATTTCATCTCAAGACTTTTAGGTTTAGACATCTAAGGGACTAGCCAGATAAAAAACAAAACTAACTAGAACCTTTTAATTTTTGTCCTGAACAAGTTTTCTATTGCCATAAAATTCAGTCAGTGGGGATTTGGATTTATGAATAAGCGCTCCCTCCCAATAAGGATGAGATCTGGAAAATAAGCTATATGGTATGGGTTGAACTGCAGCATTAATGCACAATCTGCCTCTGGTGGAGTCTGTCTATGAAATTATTTTAACCTTCCTCTAATGTGCATTTCTTGAGTACAGCTATAATCCCCTTTGTAAAATTGAACTGGGTAAATTATCCAAAAGTGAAAACAAATTGTTATGATGAATAGTGATAATATATAATCATTACCTCAGTTAGTCATACTTTAAAACCATTTTAAACACATTTTCTACAAACAAATTTAGATTGAATGAGGCTAATGCAATAATTTTGCATTTATACACTGAAATGATACAGGTTCATGTAAAATCAACGGTAGTACATTTAACCCTTTATTCTTTTATTTAACTTATTTTGTTCATAAAGTGATTAAATCAAGTACAAACACATATTCTGTATTAGAATAAAACCAACCGTGGGTCGTGCAGAGGGACTTTTTTTTTTCTTAGATACCTCCTGGCCAGCAGGTGTCGCTACTGATGACATCAGCAACATCCCGCTGTTTTCACCCGGAAGAGGAAAAACAAAGGAGACGGATTGTGGAGGGAGGCTGTTTATTCTCTTTTATTCATCTGTAAATTCGTCAGGCCTTCAGTCTGTTATTTGTTGGAGCTTTTACTCCCGCGGGTAAAGATGTCGGTCGTGCAACCTAGTCGCTCGTCCACCGGCTGGCCGCGCCGCGGCAGCGAGCAGTTCGGGAACAAATACATCAGCGGGCCCGCTAAACCTCTCACCCTGGAGAGGACCATCAACCTGTGAGTCCACATTACCCACACAGGCTGCAGCTATCAAATGAATATTCATTCAGAGAGAGACCGTTTATCCGTGGAGAGGTGACAGTTACGACTGGAGCAGTCCTAACAAAATTTACTTTAAACAAAATAATAAAAACACGCATTTTACAAATATTTAACTTTGTTTATAGCTACATGTGGGCTCGAGTTAGTCTTGGGAAAACTAAAGGAAATTATTTAAATCAGTGTAGCATGTATATAATTCATGTTACTTTTCCGTCATAATGTTCCATACTCAGCTTGTAGCAAGCTGGTAGCAAGAGGGATTATAATATTTTTAAAAGGTTTTGTACAACAAAACAACTGGACTGTTTGAATTTGCCATGTTCTAGGGAACATTTCCAATATATTTGTTTTTAATAGTCACACTGAGCCTAGTTCTGCTGGAGGGTTCTTCCTGTTAAAGGGAGTTTTTCCTCTCCACTGTCGCTACAAGCATGCTTAGTATGAGGGATTGCATTTGAGTCAATGCAATCAACTGGTTTTCCTTAAACAGAAATCTTTGAATCAATTTGACTGTATGACCTGCTGAACTAAAGTGCCTTGAAATTACTTGTGTTGTGAATTGGCGCTATAGAAATAAACTGAATAGAATTGAATATTAATGTTTAACCTCATATTTTTCGTCCTCATTGATAAAGACGTGTTGCTTTTATACAGATGCAAGTCTACTTGTTTATAGATTATCCAAAAATCAAATATTATATCGAAAGTTTGCAATTTAATGAAACTTTAACATACTTAAAAGGGCATAAAAAGTCCTAAAAGAAAAGACACGTAGATTACAAAGTGGTATGATTTGTTTTCCTATGTTTTCAAAAGTATTACTTTTTCTACAATAAATATTTTTCCTTGGATGGGGAAAGAATGTGGAAACATTTGAAATTTTGTTGTTGCCGTTGTGCTTTCTTGCTAGGTAAAGTAATGGTGTGCAAAGTAGCAGAATCAAATCTTTTTGTAAAGATGAGAGCCTCCTCCCCTCTCTGAGTTCTTACTGATTATTTTCACAGCACTCTTGTATAATGATGAGTTAAATATATATATTTTTTTAACAGCTGAAGTGCCTGGAGAGCTCTTGTGATGCTTAATATCTAGTCTGCTCTATTTTGTGTCTCTTTTCACTTTGTCTTTCTGATTTCAGATATCCTCTCACTAACTACACTTTTGGGACCAAGGAGCCACTTTATGAAAAAGACTGCTCCGTCGCCGCCAGGTTCCAGAGGATGCGTGAAGAGTTTGATAAGATGGGCATGCGTCGGACAGTAGAGGGTGTCCTCATCGTCCACGAGCACAGGCTGCCTCATGTGCTGCTTCTGCAGCTTGGCACAACGTTCTTCAAGCTGTGAGTGGCTGGTGCTCCTGTGTGAACCAGCTCCATGTGGCACAGTTACCAGTTTACAGTTTTCTGCCTCTCCTGCAGGCCTGGTGGAGAGCTGAATCCTGGAGAGGATGAAGTGGAGGGTCTGAAACGCCTAATGACTGAGGTAGCCATGCGGTTAGTTGAATTGTCTCTCCTTGATTATTGTGGAACAAATTTGCCTTAACCTCCTGACTGGTCATTAGATTCTTGGGCGACAAGACGGCGTTAAGCAGGACTGGGTGATAGATGACTGCATCGGTAACTGGTGGCGCCCCAACTTTGAGCCTCCACAGGTTGGTAAACAGAGGAATCCCAGATTTTTCTAATACACAGCTATATGCCTCATTAATTACAGAAATTACTTTCGGAGAGCAACACTTTAAAGATTTATGGTTTGTTTGATATTACAGTCTTTATTTTGATAAACTGAACATTTGAATCAATGTTTTTTGCTTGTGAGAACTGATCTGGTGCTTTTTAATCTTTCAGTACCCGTATATTCCAGCTCATATTACTAAACCTAAGGAGCATAAAAAGCTGTTCCTGGTCCAGCTGCAGGAGAAAGGTTTGTATCTTTGTAACGTGAGAACTGTTGTCAAATAATGCCATTTAATATCAAACGAGGCTCAAATGTCACAGATTCTTCATACATTTGAAATCTGTAACTAATATTTTCACAGCATTATTCGCCGTTCCCAAAAATTATAAGCTGGTCGCCGCTCCATTGTTTGAGTTGTATGACAACGCCCCTGGATATGGACCAATCATTTCCAGTCTACCACAGCTATTGAGCAGGTAAAGATTAGTTTTATATATTAGCTGATTAAATTTGACTTAATTAAATCATATTTTCATTAGGAAAAAATATACACAAATAACAATCCTTGTATGTTATTTTTTGAAGTGTAATTTTGATGTTAACATGTTGCTATATACGTAAACAGGCACTTTTTCCATTGATTAAATGCTAATTAATGTCAGCTGGTTCTTTAACAGTCACCCTAAAGTGACCCCTCGAATCAGACTTCAGTGTTTGATCAGTTTCTTGAACATTAAAGGTAGCGGATGATGTGCCTGTAGGTTGTTCTATGGGGCAGGAATAGGGTTTATCGGCTAGAGCCGCACAGAATATCTCAATTTCATTGCCGCCACAATACCAGTAAACACTATATTAATATAACCTAAAAATGCTTGGATCACAATACACCTGAAGTGGCATAGCACAGAAATACCTTAATTGCCCACAGAGAGGAAATTCTGGTGACAGTGGCAAAAACAAGCAGATAGCAGAGAAGTTACAGGTACAAGAAATATTGAATAATATGGAAAAAAGAAAATTTTTAAAGTTAAACTATAGCAAGGAAGAAAAAAAAAGGAAACATACAATAATTTACAGATATAATAAAACTCACAGCAGCTGACAAATAATCATTAACAATTGCGCAGATAAAGGTACTGATGCACAGAAACACAAATTGAGCGGATTAGAAACACTACAATATAGTCTTAAGAATAAGAGAAAACAGTTATTGATCAGATAAAGAACTTGTGCAACTAGTAGTTTTTTGTTTTTTTTTTGTTTTTTTTTATCAAGTTTTTATGCTTTTGATTAGGTGGATTTTCGGATTTTAGCTAAACTACATTTTTCGTATCACAAGTCACTCAATCTGTAACTGGTCCTTTCTGCTTCGTAAGAAGATGACTGGACGTAGTTGGAGTTTGAGGGTGCCCATCAGAGGAGTGGCTGAAATATGGATAAATCTGCCACTGCCATGTTGTTTGTAAGGTTATCTTGGGAACCAAAGTATAATTGATGGGCAATTTCAATTGTATTTGCTATTTAATGGAAATACAAAAATTGCATTTTTGAGATTCACAGAATATCATTATATTTTTGCACACATTTGTAGTGGAAACATAGCTAGTCACATTAACACTTGGCTCAACGTTGTCACATGTTAAGCTGATATTATGCAGCTTTATGGTACATGATGATCTTTTTTTTTTCTTCTTTGGCCTTATTATTGCCAGTGATAAAGGTGACGTCATCCAGTGAAGGGCATGCTATTTCTAATGCCCTCCTCCTGTCAGATTTCAACTTAAATGTGTGACGGACTTGAGATAAGTTCATTAAATCTTGCTACCGACCAGAGTTGGTTCACAGAGTAACTTGCTGTAGGAAGGAGTCAGAATAATAGCCATTTGGCTCTCTGAAACTGAAAATGCAGGATATGTGGAAATTTAACCCCAGAACTTTATTCTGAGTTATCACTTATCCTGCTTTCTGCAATCATTCTGCAATTCATGCAATCTTCTATCCCCTATACATCAGAAATCTGAGATACAAACAACTATGAATGTAGAGGAGCATACTGACTAAATAATAAAAAAAAAAAAGGAAAAGAAAAGACAAAAAAATAGGCTGAACTTAAAAGTTCAAGAATAAACAGTTATTGTTTTTTGTAGTTTTAAAGATGTCAAAATTTATTTTTTTAATTTGTTTTTTCCTAGGTTCAACTTTATCTACAACTAACCCAAGCAGCGGTGTGGCTGTCTCTGTGAGTGCAGCCAGAGAGGCATTGTGCTGAAAAAAAGGACTCCATCTCTTCTCTATCTTTTACAAATACAAACACCTGTCATGAATGGTAAATAAAATATCTGCAGGGGTGTTATTGCTATTGTAAGGAGCAAAACATTATGTTCGAGTTGTTTTTTTTTTGTTTTATTTTTTAAACTTGTGAAACTGCAACTTTTTGTAGTATGCAGGTCTGTGTCAGAATCTGGTTTTATGTTTGCCTGAAAGATGCCAATGTTTGATTAAAAAAAATACAACATTGCGTTTCCTGTTGTTTAAACCTGTACCCACGCTGTCTTTTTTAAAATAAAGTTGTGTTTATAGTAAGTTTTATAAAGTTTATAGATCTTGTATGTTGATGAGCACTGTTTCAGATTCTTTTAAAGGAAATTCATAAACTTGTATACAGTGAAGGGACTTAGAATATACATCGCAATGAAACAAATGCCTGTTATTAAGATCATAGGTGCAGATTTTATATACTGAAGACTGCTCTCCTTAGCTGAGAAGGTTTTTTGATAGAAAACCTAATTACTAATTCCCTTTTATGCAGTGCTACAGTTTGGTAACTCCGTTGCAAAGTTTATTAAAATATAAAGTAATTGGATCTTTAAAAAGCAGGAAAAAATGTCTTAAAATGCTTAACCCACTTATTGTAGTAACAAGATTTATTATGACCTCTACAATGAAACTTTATAAAGCTGTAGAGATAAAGATTACACTATTACTTTGTAAATGCTTTTTAGAAATGTGTGCCGTTATTTATATTAGCACAATTCCTTGGTTTGTTTCAGACTATAATGTGTACCAACCAGGTGATGGCATGAAAATGCAAACCTTACATCAAATAAGTGCAATCTTAAATTTCTGAGCTACAAAGGGACAGACCTCCATAATCCGTAGTTCAAACTGACACATTTATGCAAGTAATCTTTGATTTTATTTTGTCATTTTGTATACACAAGTGTAAACAAAAAGAAATTTTGTTAAGTGCAGCTCTTTAGAGTTTGAATTTTTTTAAAGTGCAGATAAACAGCAGTGATACAAACATTGTGATGAAAAAAATGATGTAAGCATATGACTGTATAGTTACAGTTCCATCAGTTTTTTTTCTATATAACCCATTTTACAGTAAGTAATCTTATCTAAAACACAAACTCTTGAGGTGACATATTTTTAATAGTGATTAAAATATATGCAAATGCAATAATTCCCTGGGCTTGTCTTTTGAGATTTTTTTTTATCCTATTGCAGTTCAATATGATTTCCTACAGCAGCGCAGATTTAAACGGGAATTATATTTTAATTATAATTATAAACAATTGTTTTGGAAACTATATTTTTTGTTTAAACATGTTTTGGTGCTGATAGCAAGGAAGAACTAACCTGACAACAGCCAGATGCATGTCTCGTCAGGTTGTTGTCAGGTTAAAGAAGAACATCTCTCAAAAGAATCAAACAATTTAAAGTGGATATTTAGAAAAAAAAAAAAGATAAGTTTACAGTGTATTTAAAATCTACCCCTATGTTTTTTTTTTCTCCATGACGGTCGCCAAACTTGACGTCAGACTCCTAGAATCTGACGTAATTTATCCGCGACACCGCTTCAATCTGCCCGTACACGCTGTCGGCGTTTGTTTTGTTTTTTTTATTTAAAGAGATTTCTCTATTATGAGCTCCAAACGACCGCAGAACGAGAGCGGTGAGACAGGAGGGAAGAAGAAAAAGAGGAGCAGCAAGGAGACCGTGGAGCTCTGTGGGGCTGTGGAGGAGGAAGAGGTGAAGGGAGCAGTGAAGGAGGCATGGAGGAGCAGGGTCCACTACAGCAAAGGTTAGGGGAGCAAACCGTGTTTATTGTGGACTGATGCTGGTTCTGATCACATTTGTGGTGCCATTATTAACTCAATCCAGTGGCACTTCCTAGAGGGACAGATGGGAGCCAAGAATTAGGGAGGGTACATTAGAAACACTTTTTTATTTTATTTTTTGGATTAATGTTGGGCTTTGACTACTTTTCCCTATGAATGTGTGTAACATAGGCATCATGACCTAAATCCACCATCTCACAACATTCTTTAAAAATAAAACAACACATGAAGGTAAAAATAAGCGCCTTCGTTTGATGTGCTCACACGTATATAGTTTATAGCCAGCATTTCCACTTTGGTGTCAATTGTGCAATGAACATTCATAAAGTCTCGTCATTCAATCAGATGCAACTTAGTGACATTCTTTTTAGAGTAAAAATTTGTTGTTTTAGTTTTTCTTTTTGCTTTTTAAAATCCAATAAACCTTAAATCTTAGTCTTTTATTTTCTCTCGACATTTTTGATTATTTTGGGATTCCATACTGACACATGGAGTCATTGGGCTATAGATCAGGGGTTTCAAAAGTCAGGGTTGCAAGACACCAAGTGTGGGGTCACATTTATTGTGATATGAGGTAATATAGAGGGCCAAAAATTATCATGAAATAAATAAATATACTATAAAATAAGCTGATGGGATATTGATTTATCTGAAATGTATTTATCAATTTAATACATGATTCAAACATTAAATGTGCACTAAAATGCACAATTGAATAATTAAATATACCGTAAGATAGTTAAAATGTTTTTTTATTATGAATTAAATAGTTAAATGTAATTAAAGAATACATTTATTTTAAAATGAATATAATTCTTTCACTTTTTTGTGTTAATAATTATATTGTGAAGTGGCTAACTGTATTTTTAGGGAATCACCAGTCTGTTAATGTTAATTTTTGGTTGACAGGCTGATATGTTTGGGAACCTCAGTTCCAGATTATCTGTTATGAAGTATTTATAGATGCAGGTTGCACCAGCAGATAATCCTAAAGTCTCTACTTTAGTTTTCAAAAGATTGAATTCTGAAATATGAAAACACTTGACTGACTTCTCCATGTGGGATTGTTGTCCAGGGGACCTGCAGTTGGACTGCCATCCTTTCCCTCACTGCATAATCAAGAACTTCCTCAGGAGCCAAACCTTTGTTGAAAGCCTACAAAGAGAGCTGCTGGAACTCAACTTCAATGAAAAGTCAAATGATCTGTACAAGTTTAAACAGGTAACCCATTCATCATACTGGTTTATTGCAGTATATATGTTTTTTCTTTTTCGTTTTGATAATCTCGTCCTCCCCCATCTCTTCAAGTCAGATGATCTGAAGAAGAGAAAGGAGCCACACATTGCAGCAGTGAGGTAACAAAATCAAATCTTACAGGTTTTTACGGGACATTAAAATTTATACAAAGTGGCTAAATGTGTTTAGAAATGTTTCTAGGGTTCTAGAGTTCTTGTTTCTGTTCAGATGTGAGGTTTAAACAGAGGAGACGCACAATGAGACATTTAATGGTTGATTAATCTCTTTGCTCCAGCACCAGAGCTTATCCTTGATACCAGAGACATAAACCTACTTTTACTGTTATCAATCTTTCCTATCTAAACCTTTTACCTCTTTACACCAGTGTCACAGAAGGTGCATTAATGATGGCTGAATTCAGCTAAATGTCTCCTAGATGAAAAGAGGAGACTTCTAGACACTTTAAAAGGAAAAAATCCCACAGATTTTATTACTATGCTTTTCTTGCAGTTTTTTTTTTCTAATACAGAGATTATTTCTACATGAAACTTTAATTTCTTTTAATACAGTTGCTGCTATCCTGACACAGATTAAATTGTTTAAAGCACGGCTCACCAGTAAAAATAATAAAAATAAATATTGGTAACAACAACAACAAAAAAAACAATGTTCATGTTTTTATCCTTTTATGACTGCTTGAAAAAAATGCTGATCCAGATATTTAGGTTTCACAAGAAAAAATGACAGGAAACATTTACTAATAAAAATAAAAACACAAAGCTTTTCTCTTTTTCTGTGTAAAAAAGGAATATGTGGAATTTAGAGAACAATTTTGTTTGTTTTCCATTTAGAGTAACAAAAAATGAAATTAATTTAAAACAAAAACAATTACAAAAACAAAAAAACTGATCTTCTTTGCATTTCTAAAAGGAAAATCAAGCAACCCAAAGATACATTGACCTATGATGAGCAGCAGTTTGGGAGTCCCTTCAACACAGAACCAACCGAAGTTAGATCAAAATGGCCTCAAAATAATTGGTTAAAGCCTCCATATGATTTAAGTAATATGATTTGTTTGTTGTTTTTATTTACACACACATATTGCCTGTTTTTTTCATTTACAGATTTTAAAATGTATTATGTGAGATTAGTGATCTCGTCCACCAGGGGGCGCCAAAGATTACCTCCTAGTACCCAAGGAATAGTTTCTTGTGTTAAAGTGATTTAATGAAAAGGGGATGCTAAACATTTATAAAGGAATTGTTTGTAACTTAAAAGGAGCAGAGTTAAATCACAACAGGTAGTTGATGATAGTTTATGATAGTGAGGGAAAAATCAAAATTTTCACCTGGAAAATCAGGTGATGCATGCTGTCACTCTTTAAGAGGGTTATTTATAGTCTTTTTGTTTCCATAATAGCTTCAGGCCTCAGAGAGAGAGAAAAAAAGCCCTCTCTTTCATTTTCATAAAGGATTTTTATTTTTTAAATTAGGCTGTATGTGTCTTTGAGATTTAGATTTTTAACCTGATCAAAAGATAAATGGCCAAATTTTAAGTGAGATTGTGATCCTCATGAGGCTCAAAGAAATGTATATAAAGGAAATTTGATCCAGAACTCTAAAAAGTGGTCACACCCATATCTCAGCACATTCTTATAATAAGGAGCTTAAGTTTGAAGGAAGGAGCTTCCAAAATATAATAAAAACAAACATTTTGTTTGTCAGTTAAAAGAAAACCATAAGAGACTGACTATAAGCTTTCACACCCACTAATATAATCCAGTCTTGGGGATTAAATGCTGCGATTAAATATACAATAAGAGATGCCCCCCCCTCACCTCTGTCTGTGATCATCTATAATTCATGCCGCAGCAAATGCCATGGCAGGCTTTTTGGGCATTTCAACAGTCATCCTTTTATAGTTATGGAGGGTTTCTATTGAGTCCAATGTGAAATGTTTCTGCTTCTGTAGGGGGGCCCTGTTTGGGCGTTTCCGCTCTTGGCTCGGGGACGTCCTGGGCGTCGAGCTGGAGCCCACTGTGGATATTTCTTGTGCTAAATATGAATATACAGGTGAGACTTACCCAAAAACCCAGATAATCTGAGAAGGTTGTTGCATGTGGTTTATAGTTTTTTATTATATCTTTAAGATGTTCTTTTGTGCCATGATGATGAGCTGGAGGGGAGGAGGGTCGCTTTCATTCTGTATCTTGTGCCTCCATGGCAGAGCAGTGATGGTGGCACCCTGGATCTGTACTCCACAGACAGTAGGTACCTCACATCCTGTGTGTATGTGGGTCTACAGCTGTATTGTTACATAACAGCTGCCTTTTACTATCCTCAGGTAATTTCCAGCCAGAGAGAATAGTGAAGTCCCTCGTACCTTCTTGGAACACCCTTGTACTGTTCGAGGTGTCTCCAGTATCTTTTCACCAGGTGAGTATTTGGGTTTTATTAAGCCATGTTGGTTAAAATAGGAGGGTAAGGTGAAGTGTTTCTGATTTTTTATTTTTTTTTTTCTGCAGGTTTCTGAAGTTTTATCACGAGACAAGTGCCGTCTCTCCCTGAGCGGCTGGTTTCACGGACCTTCTTTGGAGCGTCCTCCTCGTTTTAAGGAGCCATCCATCGTGAAGCATCCTCACTTACCGAGAGATGTGAGTGCTTTGGGAAACGGTGATAAGTCGTGTTTTCAGGCACTTTCATTTTAAGGTTTCCCATCGATTTTGTTTGTTAATCTAGCTACACACTACATGCACCATATTAAAAAGGAGTTTTATTCTATTGAAAATCAAAGTGACACTTGATAAGATTAGTGGCCAATTCTGCAGATTTTTCACATATCTAATTTTAAAAATCTAGCAGATATAATTGAATCTGTTACAAAGGAGGTATCTCTTAATGAGGCATTCAAATGTGGATCTGCTGTTGTGCTTTTGATTCTTGTCCTCTGCTTAATTGATGGTTGGAGATTGTTCTTTAGGATTCCATTGGGTCGTCCAGATACTTATACCATAAAGCAGCCCCAGATAATCACACTTCCACCACCAGGTTTCACTGCCAGTATGATATTCTCTGGTTATAACGTGTTAGATTTATGGCCCATGGAATGAGACACACGCCTCCCATAAAAAAAAAAAAACCTTCGTCTTGTCAGTCAGCTGAATATTTCCACAAAAGTAATGTTGTTGTATTATTCTACAACAAGATTACAAAAAGTTCCCCCAAATGTTTGTAATCTTGAAACTCTCTCATGGCTGATAGTCTATCTTGTCACTAGATTTCAGGTGACTGGCAGTAATCAGGTCTGAGTGTGAATGGTGAATATTAAAGAGGTAAATTCAGAACAAGGTTCGCCTTTTAGCCTAATAAATGAATGTATTCTAAAACTTCATGTTTTATTTATTTATGGCTGGGTGATTAGTAAAATAGATTAATTGTAATTT